TCTGAGTTAGAATCACTTACCCCGATGAATTTCTTGAAAAACCTTCGAAAAATCGCCAAAATCCGAGCTCTCTAGGTCAAAATATTAAATAAAACCCAAAACCTCATATTTATAGAGTACCCCACAGATTTCCACCTCTGCGGACAACACAAAAACGACCACGGTCCGCACAAAAATGACTGAGGTTGCACAGGTTTTCATCTGCAGTGACATGCTTTAGTATTTTGGCCATAACTTTCGCTACAAATGTCAAAATTGCAATATCTTTACTTATCTGGAAACTAGACACGAAGGGCTACAACTTTCTTTGAATCATCTCAAAATTCCTTCTGGAGCAAAAGATATGAGCTTCCGAAGTAGGACCAGTGAAATATTCCCCACCGCGACCACACTGCATTTTGTGCGGTCTGCACAGCACCTATCGTGGCCGCACTTCATTTTGTGCGGACCGCGCTGGTGGGTTCCGAGGCCTGCAACCCTTCTGGACCTGCTACAGCTATGATTTTCGGCCTAAAACATCCCGGAACCTACCGGGAACCCCCGGAACTTCAAACCAATTGCACCAACACATCCCATGACATCGTTCAAACTTGTTCAAAACTTTGGAACGCTCACAACAACATCAAATCACCAATTTAACATAGGATTCAAGCCTAAGAACTCTTAAATTATGCTTTCGATCAAAAAGTCTATCAAATCTCGTCCGAAAGACCTGAAATTTTGCACACACATCCCAAATGATACAACGAAGCTACTGTCACTTTCGGAATTCCATTCCGACCCCTATATCAAAATCTCGCCTATCAACCGGAAATCGCCAAAATATCAACTTCGCCAATTCAAGCCTAAATCTTCTCTACAACTCCAAAACCCATTCCGATCACGCTCTTAAGTCACAAATTACCTAACGGAGCTAACCAAATCATAAAAATTCCAATCCGAGATCAAATACAAATAAGTCAAATCTCGGTCAACCTTTCAAATTTTAAGCTTTCAACTGAGACTGTTCTTCCAAATTCATTCTGATTAACCTGAAACCCAATACCAACGATTTACATAAGTCATAATACACCACACGGAGCAAGTCATGCCCGAGAACTGGCGAACGAAGTGCAAAAGGTCAAAATGGCCGGTCGGGTCGTTACAGAGACACAACTTACAACCATTCTGCGAGGGAAAAGACACATTGAATAGCTAACTCCAAATGGTGCTATTGTTAATAAAATGATTGGTACCAATTATTGCCGAAATATGACAATATCCAAAGCGGATCAAATACGAGCATTATATATCACTACAAGAAAAATGGTCATTAGCGACAACAAATCTAGTTCCTAAAGGTGTGATTCTGGTCCTTGAAGGTCAATAACGACCAGTAAAATCTGGTCACCACTCGTCGCTAAAGGCTCCGCCGCTAAAGGCCAATAACGACGAGTTGAGGAGCTGGTCCTTGAAGAGTTTTAACGACCGTAAAAGTTCTAGTCCCTAAAACAGTTTTAGCGACCATAAATCTGGTCCTTAAGCACTTTTATTTTGGTCCCTAAGTATAGACCAATTGCTGCCTACAATATTTAGTAACCAGTTATACGAGTCTTTTCCAGTCATATTTTATTTATAAATTATATTATTTTTAGTATATAAAATCACATGCACGTAACAAAAATATCAATAAAATCATGCTTTCATATACAAATATACAAATGTACATGTATAAATTGGTTATGAATTACAAAAAAGCGTATTACATCCCATTGGTAATTGTATAACCATGAACCATATGTCACCGTGCTCTTTACACAATCTTTTAGCAAAAATAACTGCTTTCCTAACTACCCTTGCAAGTGAAACAATATTGCATGAAGTCTTCAAAACTTGCATCTTGACTTGTAAGTTCAACTCTTCAAACCCTCTAAAAAATAAAAAGTAAATTTTCCTTTAGAAAATTATGAAGATCATATTATGTATTTGAAAGATAACAACAATGAGAGGAACACTTGAATATTGCATACTTTCTTCTCCTTAAAATAAAGCATATCATTTACATATATAGTCCAATTTCACCTTTTCAAATATAGATTAATGTAAAATAACCTATCCATATTTACAAAACACATTATACGAGTAGCAATACTTTTACAAGTTTCAATAATGTACATACCTTTAACCAATATACAGTGAACCGTATTTCCTCCAGTGAGACAATCTGGAAGTAATTAAATATAGTTTAGATCATGAAAATCAGTTTGTGCTCAACACATAAATTATAAACCAACAAAAATATCGTATAAAAAAGTTTACTAAAGCGCAACCTCATGGCCAATGATAGTGACTAACAACTCAAACAATTCAAGGAGGAAAGACTTCTTCATTTGCCGTTCAAGAATATGAATAAAGAAAAGAGTAAAACTATTATTAGCCTTATAATCAATAATTTTGAGAACTAGATATTGAGCAAATTACATAACTAAGAGCCCAAGACAAAAGGCATTATACAATCTGGAGGATGAAGCTCAAACCACTAACCATTCTCCATATATGTTTTTGTTCAAATAAAATAATTAGTCTAGAGCTAACATTAGTCATAACCTAAGAACTCCAATGAAGATGTTCCTTAAGAACTATTTATTTGAAAAAGATCAAAGTAGATGCTGAGAATTACAATAAGAAAATTTTATTTACATGCCATATATATTGATATTTCCTCCAAAGCTTGACCAAAAAAAGAACGTCATGAAAGTTCCATTCACAACCCATCTCAGGGTCATAATAGATACCTTATCAAATTAGGCACAGGGGCTAGGCTACTATGTGAGATAATTATACTGGGGCTATTAGCTTTAACAAGGATGAATCATTAGAATTGAACTATCCAATAGATAAATTATACCCATAACAGAACTGCAACAAAATGATAAGAATAATTATGTTCCTCCAATGTAAAGACAGAGATCCATTTTCAATGGCCAAAGTGAACAAATATCTGAAGATAATAACTTCTTTTAGTTAGAGTAAGATGCAATTGTCCTTCTTACAATATTTTTAACTACACCCAACCTCTTTCCTTTCTATTATTTACTTCGTGAAGTTTAAGTAAGATGCAATTGCCTTACAACCAATATATTCTCAAAACAACCAATATATTCTCAAAACAATAAGAACAAACACCAAATATTAAGATTGATGAAGCATTAGAGTTAAATTTCATAAATTAATCGCCCATAAAGGTATTGCCAAACAACTTTTATTGAATTATATTTGGGTTTAACATTGTCTTCTAATTCAATTAAAACTAGCTAAGAGATATTGAGATTGATAAAATAAGATGTTTGTGAGCTAAGAGAATGACCTCATGTGTAATCTGATGTTGCAATCTTAAAGAACGTTTCTTTTGTCGATATCAACTACTACGTCTCATCTTCCACAAGTTCAAACCACCAGTTGCGAAAAAACATATTATAAATGCATAGTGTTTGAAGATTGCAATATATTATAAATAACTAATAGAAAGTGTGGTAGAGTAAGCTATTGCTATGTTGAGCTTTCTATTCTCTCATCTCACTCTGTTTCATCTCCTTTTGTCTTCTCTCTATCAGTTGGTTTCCATTATTGTTCAATTGCAATTTCCCTTATTAGTCTATTGTAATTTAGTTGAGTAATTTTGGTATAATTAGTGTATGCGACGAAATTAGAGGGTCCAATTTCTTGTTGTTAAGTCACTTCGGAAGAACACCTCGAGGCCTCGAGGACCCGAAGTTGTGACCGAGTTCCCTCCTTCGAAACTCGTCAATGTCCGACCCGAAGAGAATATTGATCGAGGCTAGAGTAAAATAGGGGATTCCCAAGGCACACTGCTAAGTCTGACAAAGTCGGTCTGCCCGAAGCCTGTATCAAGGTGTCGCATCTAGCCGTCCCATCTCCAAACCTTTACAATTAATGCATATTTGTACTATGTTGGATTCTCCCTCCTATATAAAGGGGATCCTCATCACTTTGTAAGGGGTTGTTGTTGCTCCAACTACTCTACACGAAATATAACAACTATCTCTCTTTTCTCTCTAACATATTTTCCTATCGCTATTACTTATTATTCTCATATTTGTTCTTCATTTATTGCTTGTTATTGGCCATATAGAGCCTCCCTTGATTATATCCTAACTATTAGCCTTTTCCCGATTACCCCTGATAGCTCGAGCCCGAGCCCAGACATCGACCTCGAGGCCCCTCATCGGTCAGTCCGAGGCCCAAATAGCTAGCCCCTCGATTTGATTATTGTATGCGGCGAAATCAGAGGGCTTAATTTCTCGCTATCAAGCTACTTCGGAAGAATACCTCGAGACCCTGAGGACGTAGAGTTGCGACCAAGTCCCCTCCTTCAGGGCTCGTCGAGGCCCGACTCAAAGAAGACGAAGATCGAGGCTGGAACAAAAAGGGGAGTTCCCTAGGCACGCAGCTAAGTCTGATAGAGCCAGCCTACCCAGAGCCTGTGTTAAGGCGTCACATCTAGTCATCCCATCTCCATACTCCTACAATTAATGTATGTTGTACTATGACCGGATTCCCCCTCCTATATAAAGGGAACCCACACTACTTTGTAAGGGGCTGCTGTTACTCCAACTATCCTATCCAAGATCAATAATATCTCTCTTTCTTCTCTCTAACTTATTCACTCTTACTCACTCGAGGCTACTCTTTGCATTTATTGCTTTCATACTTATTCTTCATTTAATGTTTGGTCTTGGCCATAAAGAGTCTCCTTTGATCATATTTTAACTGTTATCCCTTCCCGATTACCCTCGATAGATCGAGCTCGAGTCAGATATCGACCCCGAGGTCCTTCATCGGCCCGTCTGAATCTCGGGCAGCAAGCCCCTCGGTTTGATTATTGCCCTGTTTTAGCTCGTATCTCATCGTCAAAACTTCATACTCTTAGCATCAGCTACTCTAACAACTAGCATAAAAATAGATCACGTATTTTTAGAATCCCATTTTACAAATTTAATTGTCATTACCATTTTCACGGTAAACAGTTTGGCGCCCACCGTGGGGCTAAAAAAATAGTGATTATTTTCTTGCTAGTTTCATTACACAAACACAAGTTATCTTTCACGTCTTTTCTTGTTCAAGATCTTTGATTTCAGGTCAAAATGTCTGGCTCGGTAAATAGAGTCGAGAACGACAACCTCGAAAACCACGGGGAAAACAGTGTGGCTATTTCGGCTGTCGACGCGCCACCACAGAATCCCGGTAAGACGCCCGGACCGATTCTAGTGGACGTAGATTCACAGGACGCACAACAGGTCGACGAAACCTAGCACACCGATAGGAGCATACGATATAACGACCGATAGGAAGCCCAAAGAACCCCAGCCCGGGAAGAACATGAAGTTAGTCTTCATGTTATTTTTGAAATGTTCCAGGCACAACAGTTGGCCATCGCTCAGTTACAAAGCCATCCAAACACTCCCAGCATAGCAGTGCCGGAAACAGCTCCCCCAGTCGAACATGTACCCGAGAGATCGAGCAATAACGGATCGGTAGCCGATCCCGCCATCGCGAAAATGCTGGAGGACCTCACAGAAAGGATCAAGTCAGGCGAGAAAATGATAGCAGCCAATGATAAGAAGGTCGAAACCTATAACTTCAGAGTCGATCAAATCCCGAGTGCGCCCCGGCCCTGAAGGGTGTAGATTCGGGGAAGCTCGTGCAACGGCCATTCCCCGACGAAGCGGCCCAGGAACCCACTCCAAAGGAATTCAGAATGCCTGAACTCCCTAAGTACAATGGGACCTCAGATCCCAACGAACACATCACTGCCTATACGTGCGCGGTAAAAATCGATGACCTAAAGGACGATAAGATCAGGTCCGTCTTATTGAAAAGGTTTGGGGAAACACTCTCGGAAGGGGCCATGATATGGCATCATAACCTAGCACACAACCCCATAAACTCACTTACCATATCGGCAGATTCCTCCATAAAGGCACACGCCGGTGCCATCAAAGCAACGGCGAGAAGACCCAACACATCCGGGACCAAGCAAAGGAATAACGAAATGCTGCGAGAATTCGCATCTCATTCCCAGATGGAGCAAATGGGACTACCCCCGGTCTCGGATGATAGGGCAATACATGTCTTCACTCAAAGCCTAAACAAACCAAGCCCGACGATCCCGAGGCAGTTAAAACAAAACTTGCTCGGGTACCCAGCCAAGATCTAGTCGGATGCCTATATCCGGCACCAGTTGCAAACCAGGGCCGTGGATGACTATCCAGGAGTCCCCTCGGGCTCAGCATACCCAAACAGGCTTCTAGAAAAGAAACCAATGCCAAACAGAGAGAGGTACCACCCGTACGTCGCAGGCGGGAGAAACGCCCCAAGGCGCAATCTACCTCACAACGATTGGAGAATGGATCGAGGACAATATCATTGAGGTATCGTTAATAGAACCAGATTTGACGGGGACACGAGGCCAGCGAGGGTGCCTCGCCCATCAAGATACAATTTCAACATCGCTGTATCAAACATACGTGTTCATCGTCAGCAAAACCAGGGACACCAGATGACCCAGACCTATTCAGCAGAACCCCTCTCAGAGGAATCAAAGCTGGGTATGTGAACTACATAACAAATGCGAACGCAAAGCCGGGGATAGCCACCAGCTCCGGAGGAAAAGAGCCAAGTCACTCAACAAAAACCACCGTTGAGAACTGACGAGTGACTGAATTCAGGTTCAGCCCCGAGTAGGGAAGGCGGCCAGGAAGAACGAAGCAAATGGGCCGAAGCATTTTTCCACGATAGTGGAGGAGCAACGACACTTTTAAAGAACTCATAAAAGGGAGAGCACAAATGCTCGCCGCCAGAGAAAGGCGGATCTAGGGACATATCCCCGGGGACACCCTCACAATCAGCAAAGAGGGCACCAAGACCTTGTCTCGGCCTCACACTGACACACTAGTAACCTTCTTCCTCACTCAATCCATTTTAAATAAAACATGTGTTCATAAGTTCAGATGGCTCGATCAATGTTGTCGGGCCGAGGATAATAGGGCGGTTCGGTCTGCCGGGTCAAAACACTACCACCTCTTGAATCTTTGACGGATTCCAAATGGCTATCACTACGACAAGGAGAAAGACCACTCTCTCAGTCAGTGTGGCTAGCGTAGACCGGAACGCCAAATCCCATATCGTCAAAAGAGGCGCAAT